TTCCTCATCAATCGTGGATCTCTGCTTGATGCTTCAGGGATTAGGTGGGTAAAATCCCCTCCCTGAGTCCGTCCGCCGCTGGTTTGGCTCCTAGAGGCCCGTGTTCTGGAAGACCTGTTGTCCCCTCGCTCCCCGGTGGATCATAAGTGTGTTCAAAAGTGATTCTAACCATGTTGACGTATGAGATTTGCTTAGATCAGTTGATCGCTTTGGAAACTTTTAGTTCAATTTCCCACATACAGCGCCAATGTTGAATCTAAGTCCCGAATGGATCCGAAAGCCCAACACCAACCTTAGGATGTAGGGTATAATTGGTATAGTAACGAGTGCTTTAAAGAAATATAGAAACTAATTAACTCACTCAAGTAGCTCCGCTTGTATTAATGCAGTAAGTACAATTACAATGAATGACCGAACGACAGTTGCGATCCAAAAGCTAATACAAGAGCTAAAATGCTATATGAGCATGTGAGTAAACAAATGCTAACCATTTACAATGAAATAAATGATGCTATTTATACTAGAGGTGGGTAGGTGGAGGTATGGGGTGCTACAATGTGATTGGTTGCTTTCCATGCTACTTGGGCTCCCATGCTCCCACTTGTGATCCCATACTCCAACATTAAATGCAGCCTGCCACTTGTGCGTATTCCCGATCGGCACTGGGACCCGCTTAGCCATAAGTCCATAAAGTTTATGGTCATCCAAATGTGAATTACACCCCGTTCGGGATGTGTCGAACGGGTGCCTTCTTTAGCTGCTTGGATCCTGTTCCGGAGCTTTCCCCTGCTCTTGGGCCTTAGGGATATTCCGTGCCGGTATACTGGACCGGGCCCTAATATCCCAACACTAATTAGTGTACCATGTATGTGTGTATATACAATTTTAATATAATATACATAGTATATACGTCCCTTACCCCACCCTAGGTGGGAGCCTTTGCGGCACTGGGGTAAATGAAAATGATGATACATAGTATATACGTAGTATATACTCCCTCCGCCCTGAAAATGTTGGCCAAAGTTGACTTTCACGTGGATTAATAAAGTAAAAACTGTGTGGTTAAAATTTGCGCAGAGGAGAGATAATTAATTTTAGGCACATGTTCCTTACTTTAAATGGAAATGACAAAGCTTTTCGGGACACCCAAAAAAGGAAATTTGGCCAACCTTTTCAGGACGGAGGGAGTAATAATTTAATTCCGGCCTAACCGGTACAGAATATTCCCTGTTTTATATCGGAACAGATAGGAACGACAATTGGTAAAGCCATTGGATCAAAGACCAGACTAGTATCTATCCGATACTGGTCCGGTATGGACTGATCAGTCCGGTTCGGTCCAGTTCTCCTGTCAGGAACCGATTATGTTCAATCCTAATTCCAACCATCAACGTATAGGCCTGATACAAACTAGTTGAAATTACCCGCATGGTCTACTATTGTGTACCATATATCATTTATGTCCCAATTGTTTTTCCTTTTCATTTTTAACTTTTGCTTTTTCAGTTATATTTTATTTATTTCACTTTTAGGCTATTCTTTCTACGGCCTCCTCCTCCTCCATCGGTCCATTGGTACTCGTATACCACAGAAAGCAAGGCACATTCACTAATCTCGTTCCTCGCCACCTTATCCGATTTGGGAGAGTCCTTGGAAGACTGCCTTGAGATTCTCCTTCCACCTCCTTCCCCTCTACTCCGGCCTTCGCTCTCCTCTCCGTTCTCCAATCCTCCGGCTCCGATCTCTGTGAAGCATCGACGCCAATCGTCAGCCGTTGCAACCTGGGACACCGACTTCTAGACGAAGAAGCAAAAGGTATTCCTCCAAACCGCTTTAATTCGTATGTCATATCCATACCCGGCTTAATTTCTAACCTTGTAAATTTCTAACCTATTTTATTTTAAGTTAATCTCAAATTTATTCGTCAATTTGTAAACTTGTGATTCCAAAGCCTGGAGCTGCTTGTTTTGATTTGTTTTATAATCCGAGTTCTAAAATTGATTAACCTGAAAGCCTAGAATTGCTTAGTTTATATTAATTTGTATATATTTTTTAATCACTATTACTATTAAACCTCGATTATTACATTTTATTTTTTGTTATGGTATTGAATTGAGTAGTAATGTATTTTTTAGTATACCAGATTTAATTGTGATTTAGATTCTCCTTTTGACTCATGTTTTCTCTTTTTGACTCATATTCTCTCTTTGATTTTGATTTGTGTTATTTTATATTCTGATGTGCTAATATTATTTTCTGAAATATGCTTAGATGTCTCATAAATCATTTTATAAACAACCGTACACTAGTGTAGTTTTTCCCCATAGCTGAACTTGAGCAACCCTGCAGTTGAGGATGTAGACATTGAGTATTCATTGTTTGAAGGCACTATGTTATCCTGATCAAAAGTCACTACCATTGATTCTACATTGTCTATGAGAATGGAGATGGTTGATTAATCTGCTATATAAGCATTCATTGGTTCAACACAAGAGTATTCTAGCAACAGTTATCACTACTACGTCTTGTTTTGTGAAAGAACCATTGCTGCTATGTCTCACTATAATGATTAGTAATGGTCACTCATTTTTAGGGGCATTATTTTGTGATCTTCTATTTTATGTTTGACTTTTTTGTGTGCCTTTTGCTATCACAATTTTTTTCTCAATCTTGTTCACAATTTTCTCAATTAAAAACTATAACCTTTTTTATTTGGGTCCCTCCTTGTACATATAAAGAGGTGGAGGAATTGAGACTGACCAATTCCGGTTGAGCTTTGTCAACTTCAAAGGCTTCAAGAATTGTACGTGACTGGTCAATTCTGGATATTCTGGGCAAATACCATAACATATTCCCTTCTGAACAACTTAACCACACTGTCTTTGCAGAACAACCAGTTAACCGGAGAGAGTCCGGCAGAATTGACAAGTCTCTCGCATATATATCTCTTGAATCTGTGCAAAGACATTTTACACGGTGTTGTTCCTTTCAACTTAACTTTTCTTAGGATGTTAGGGAGGATTTTAGACCTTAACGAGAATGCAGGGTTGTGCTTTTGAGCATCTGAGGCTCATGATGGAAACTTCTCTGGAATTGGTATTTGTAGGAGGAACCAAAGTGGGTACAACTTAAAAAAGAAATTAGGAGATTCATCTGAGTTGAGCAAATCATTCTGATCCATGTCTGGTTTCGGTATTGTAGAATTGCTTCATTACTTCTTCTTTCATTAGTTTTTTTCCTCCTGCAGTGCTTTACTACTGCTAGGCTACGATGGGTATAACATGGGTCCCAATGTCTTGAATGTGAGTTTTATTCATGTTTTTATTGTAGTGATCTAGTGTTTTGATATACAGTTTTCAATATGATATGCTTGTGATGTTATTTGTGACAGTTTTTGAGATCAACGAGTAAATGGAGATAAAGAGAAAAAACTGATGGACTGTGTGTTGAATTCCATAAGTGGAAGAAGAATGTGAAGCAAAATCAAATACTCCGTAATATAATACATAGTAGATAAATGTAATAAATTGAGTTAATAAGTTGAATTATATGCTTAGTGTGACACTTTTGTATATTGTTTTTGTTTCTTATTGTTGTATCATGTGTATTAGTTTTTGTTGCATCATGTTTCTTTTTGTTGTAACATGTTGCTTTTTGTTGCACCGTGTTGCTTATTGTTGTATTGTGTTATTAATTGTTGTTTTATTGGTTTAGATTTTTTATTTAGGTTTCTATTATCTTTGCGACTTCATTCCATAAAGACGTTTCTAGAGATTTTATAAATAAACATCTAAAATGATAAATTTAGGTTTGTGAAAGTAAAAAACAATTTGAAACATAAAGAAACAATAAAAAACAAAAAATTATACTTATAAACAAAAAGAAACACATAGAAACAACAGGCAACAAAAATGAATAATAAAATAATAATAGTAATTATCAAATACTTTTAATTCTTTCAGAAATATTAAATTATAAAACTAATATTTTTATTTTTTAAATTTTAAATTTTTTCCAAGTTCATTATTTTAATTTTTCATATTTTTATTCTATGATTTTATTTAATTTTAGAGTCGTTTAGGTTACATTAGTTTTCAGATTTTTAATATTGTTATGTATAATATTTATACTTTTTCACTTTAATATACAGAGTATAATTTAATTTAACTCTCGAATGATTTCAATTTTTTTATATTTATTTGAATTTTTATTTCCTTTTAATATGTATATTTTCCAAGTTTTTAAATGATTACTTTTCATAAAAGATTTTGATTATTTTTCATATTATTTAATATTTTCAATTTTTTTTTATGTTTTTTATGTGTTTTTAATAAATTTAAGGCTATCAATTATGTTTTACTATTTTATACTATGGGTCACTTTTTATAAAACATTTGATTTTTTATATATATTTGAATAAATTACATTATATATTTAAAAAAATTACACTAAAAAAATGTCCCAAGTTTTTTGTTTGAAGATTCATATATGATTTCTATTTTCTAGCATTTTTGTAAAATTTAAATTCATTTTATTTTAGTTTTTATGTTTAATTAACTATTTTCCAAATTTGTATCCATTAAATTAAATTTTGAATTCTTTATTTTATAAAATCTAATTTCCTTTTTTAGAAATCTAGATGTATAAGTTTAAATTTAAATATTTGAATCTCTTAAATTTACTAATGTTACAAAACCAAGATAAGTGGATAAGAGTTCAAATGCACGTACACATTTGAATAGTAGAACTTCCGGACGCGGGAAGTAACCTATTTGTGAAAAGAGATTATTAGTCAATCTATTTTTGAAATAAATTTTAAAATGTAATAAAAGTAATATTATTTCAGTTTTTAATCTATTTCTGAAAAATTCCCTACAAACTATGTACTCAGCCCAGGCCCTATAATGTGACGTTGGCCCGAAGAATAAAAGAGGAACAGAATAATAATAAAAAAAGAATATCCACCGTTTTGTTTCCTTTTTCTTAAAATCATCGGTAGTTGAGATGTTTTACAAACCCTCGTCCTTAGGGTTTATCTTACCGCCAACAAAACGAACCTCTAACCTATGATCAAATGTGAAGCTTCTACAGATTATCAATATTGCAGAGAAAAAAGGATGGAAGCCAGGGTGGGGATGTCAGCACGCGGAGGCAGCGTTGCAGAGGGCGGGTCGTTTCTGCCGCACCACCAGCGTCTGAAACACCACCAGTATCACACGCACCAGCACCCACAGAATTCGCAGACGCAAATCGGAACTGTGCCGCAGCTTCTTGCAGGTGGTATTGCCGGAGCTTTCAGCAAGACATGCACTGCCCCCCTAGCTCGTCTCACGATTCTATTTCAGGTTAATAGTGAACACCTTAATTCATTTAAAGTTAACACTACAAACGATTTATATTATTTATTACCTCTATCAAGATAAATTTCACTCCAATTATTAGTTAAAGCCACTTTTCCAATTCATTGTGTCACTGGATTTGTAGATATAACGGCTTATGGAAGATGGAACTCTGTGATTCTGTGAAACTGTGTCTTTCCAGTTTGGCGGGGATGGGGGTGGCAGAGGGGGCGGATATGACTCTATTTATGAAGTTTAATCATAGAACCTGCCTTTTAGGATGTGCATTCTATAGTAACCAGATATTTAAAAATCAACCTTTCCCAATATTGTATCAGTATTCACTTTTCATTAATCGATACCAGATGTTTGTTGCATTTGATTATCTTTGTTTCTATTCTCACTAGAGAAATAGACGTTTGTTTAGCTTTTTCACTCCTGAAATCTGCCTTCTTACTAGTAAATGTTTTTTCATAGTTTCAGAAACCCCTCTTTTGTGTTCGTATATAAATATTATGCACATCCAAATGTGCATGTGCACAAGCTCATTTCTTGTTATTGGACTTATTTTCTATTTCTATGTCTTAGCTGATCCAAATATATAAGTATATCCCTTTATGTAGCATCTATTGACATTATTCTTAGAAGCACTTGGCAAGTGAGTTTAGGGCCTAGGAAGGACTAGGTGCTGATTAGTAGAACATAGATTTACTGATTTACATGTTGACTGGGGTCATAGTTGTCATCGGCGCAATATGGTGCGTGCCATGTGGTGTCTCGCATAAAAAAAACTCATGGCGATGACTCTACACGTGGTGGCACCATATGTGCGCCATATCTTTAAACAGATTTTAACATGTTTACTTAGGTACTTTTGAGCTTTAACTCTAATAATTAATTAACAAACCACTCTGCCTATAATATTAATAAAACTCTAATAAGGAGTACATAAATACACTAGCTAACGTAAAGCAAGAAAATATTGTGTAGGTAGCAGTTCATGGTTATTTTTTCCTAAAATAGTTAAAAATAATAGTGAATCGAAGGGTCCTATTATAAGTTATAAGATTAACTGTGTGGCCTTATCTCATAATCTCATTTTGTGTTCTTTTTGAAAAAAATAAAATCTTAGGTCCAAGGCATGCATTCGGATGTGGCAGTGTTAAGTAGACCAAGTATATTCCGTGAGGCTCTGCGGATTGTGAATGAAGAAGGATTCCGAGCTTTCTGGAAGGGAAATCTTGTCACTATTGCTCACAGACTTCCGTATTCATCAGTCAACTTTTACGCTTATGAACACTATAAGAAAGTGGGTAAAACATGGCATATTTTCACTAACAGGATAGTTAATACAGTACCTCTTTTCATCTTAACCGAGTTATTGCATTTTGCAGATCCTAAAATCTATTCCAGGCTTCTATGGTAATGAGAGACATGCTGGTGCAGATGTACTTGTGCATTTTGTAGGTGGTGGTTTAGCTGGAATGACAGCTACCTGTGCCACCTACCCTTTGGATCTTGTTAGAACAAGGTTGGCAGCACAGGTATAACCCTACTACTTATGCTTTATGGTTTTTGTGTGTTGGCTCTTCCCTTTTAGGTATACATGTGGATATCATAGATCATTCACATAAGTATCATGACTAATCATCACAAATAAATTTTGGAAATTTACATTATATTTTTCCATCATTTGCAATGGAGTCAAAGATTCACTATTTTTTGGCTTGGGAATATGACGGAATTCAACAAAATGGCTCACTAAACTGTCACTCCATGCAATTTGTGACACGATTGTCACAATGGGTCATCTGGAAACAGTCTCATTGTTCTTTAGTATATGGGTAAGGCTGTGTACATCCGCCCGCTCTTACCCTACCGTAGGTGGGAGCCTTTGCGGCACTAAGGTAATGATGATGATGACATTATATTTTCAATTAACATGGATTTGCATCATACCATGAATCTGAATGAGATTGGAGAGACTTGGGAGTTCTTGTGTTATGGTTCATCTAAAAAAATTAACATACATATGAAGAGCGTACACAAAAACTTCAAGGACATACTTGTTAATTCTTACCACCCATTCGCTGTATGTTGACCATGAGTATTTAGTTCACTTATGGTTTTGTTATGACTTTGTAGAGGAGTACAATTTATTATCAGGGCATTTCCCATGCCATCCACACCATCTGTAGGGATGAGGGCTTCTTTGGGCTGTATAAAGGACTTGGAGCAACATTATTGGTACACGCCTATGAATTGCCAACTGACTTTTCTTTATTAAAGTATAACTTGTACTAAAATCTGATTCAATGAATGTCACTGTTGTTATTTTGATGAATACAGAGTGTTGGACCTAGTATAGCAATAAGCTTCTCTGTTTATGAATCTTTGAGATCTCAGTGGCTAGCTCACAGGTGAGTGTGTTTGTGTGAGATTAATAATTCTGAGACAGCACCTCATCATATAAACTATCTTCTCTTTTTAGTGGTTATTATGGTTATTCACTAACCTCTCGTTCTTAGGCCTGATGATCCCAATCTTCTCATTAGTCTTACTTGTGGAAGTCTTTCGGGAATCGCATCATCTACGGGTAATGATTGAATAATTAATAATCTACATCCACTTATCTAATGGTGTCAAACTTTTGAAAATGAGGCAGTCTGACATGCATCTTACCTTGATGTAGTGACATTTCCTCTCGACCTAGTGAGGCGACGAATGCAGTTGGAAGGAGTTGCTGGTCGTGCACGCGTGTACAACAGTGGTCTGTTCGGGGCATTTAGGCACATAGTTCAAACCGAAGGTTTCCGGGGGTTTTATAGAGGGATTATGCCCGAGTACTACAAAGTTGTCCCTGGTGTGGGAATTGTTTTCATGACGTATGAGGCACTGAAGAAGTTTTTATCTGAATCTCCCTTTGCTTGATTGGTTTTCATCTTCGGAAATTACAAATGGTTCTGCAAGTTCCCATGCTCTGAGAGGCACTCAGATGGAGAAACAGTTTTGCGCGCTACTAAATACTAAGCTAGAAAAGTCGAAAAATATTGAGTAGGTAAATTATATCACTTCCATGTTGTCGTTATTGTCTTAGCATCTAACTTCTATTTTTCACTGTGTATAGCCCATTAGTCCCCCAACCTGGCATTGAAGTGTTGTCCTACATGATTGCACTTTTTTGGCCCTTTTTGTTAAATTTTCAGGACTGCTGTAGCTTAGCATTTTATTTTCTGAAGTAACTTCAGATGAATTTTGTTAACTGATGCGTTTCTTTCGGCTTTGTATTGACAGTGAAATGAAATATTATTAATTAAATTTAATTATCAGCTGATTGTTACTAGGCTATTTTTATAATTTTGTTATGTCTTGCTCCTTATTTTAAATTAAATTATTATCCGTCACATTTTATAGCACTGGTGACATCCTGCTTCAATGGTTCTATATTTCAATTTTACCAGAATGACATTTTGCTTCAAACTAGAAACAGTGTGGGACTGCGGTGTGTGAAGTTGTTAACTTAGTACAAAAACTGCCTTAGGTACTTTGCAGCTTACCTTGAGACATTAAAAAACCTTGGTCAAATAGGCCTTCGAATTAACTTCAAAAGTGCAAGTTACCTCTTATATAGGAGGTTCTGTCCGGTCGTCGCCATTTGGGGCGATTCCAACTGGAACTTTTTGATAAAAAATTTTGTGCATCTTCTTTATTAAGTCTAGTTAATAAGTTAATAATTTAAAAACTAAAACAAGTGTTTTTTGAGTTAATGATTTAAAGTGATTTTAACTATGGATGGACTCGGGTTCGGGCCGGGTCCGGGTCGGGCCTAGGCCCGGGCGGGCCGGCGGGTCAGAAATGGTGGACCTGGGACCGGCCCAGGTAACCACCGGGTCCGGACCGGGGCCGAGCCGGGCCGGGCCGGGCCCATTATATTTTTTTTTTGTTTTCCTCTTCCTAATTAACCCCCCTCCCACCCCAACCCCCAAACCACCCCAAATGGCCCAAAATACCCAGCCCAACCCGAAAATTTAAAAAAAATTGAAAAAAAAAAGTTTTTGGCCCGAACCGGGCCCGGCCGGGTCGGGCCTTGTTTTGGGTGACCCGAGCCCGGACCAGAAAACCCACGGGCCGGGCCTACCCGGACCGGTCACTGACCGGGCCACCGGGTCGGGTCGGGCCGGAACAGTACCGGTCCCAGGCCGGTTCCGGGTCGAGCCACCTGGCCCGAGTTCATCCATAATTTTAACTATCTAATTAGCTAACACGACTCTTAAGTAACATTTGAGACCTGAGAGACAATCAGTAATGACTAAACAAGAGTCAGTCAAAGGTCTAGAAAGTGGGGCGGAAGGGGAAACCCTAGCTCTCACCTCTTCTTCTTTTCTTCCCTTCCTTCAATTTTTTTGGCTTCAATTATGAAAAAGGATTCGTTTAATCATTATTTTCAGTTCTCTCTATACGTTTATTTCCTAACGTTTTCTAGATATGTTATTTTCGGTGGCGAATTGTCGTTTGCCAGATGTATATTCTCAGTCATCATTGGTCGGATGTTCTTGTGTTGTAGTAATAGATTTCTAGTCGCTTCTTCATCAATAATGAATCTGGATTTCTTTTGCATCAATATTGAGGCCGATGGCCCCCCTCAGGAACCACCGCCGATCCAGGAAGATGAAATTGCATGTATTGCTTTTTTTATGGCCGGTAACAAATTCTGCACTTGGCTTCTTACTGGTGGCTGACAAAACCAGGGAATTCAATAGTTCATTTTCGGTGGCTGATCAAACCGGATCCATTTTGAATAGCATGAGCAGGCACAGTGCGGTACTAGTCTACATCGTTGCAGGATTAACGAACATGAATGCCTTTATAAGTCTTTTTTGTTCTTTGTCTCACCCTAGTGTAGGTTTGAACGCAATGATTGTAATGCTTCAGTTTTTGATTGTTATGTTTCTTGATATTCTTCTCAATAAAGTTATTTGTTTTCAAAAAAACTATCAAATTAGCTGTGTCATATATATTGAACCATTTGTAGCAGAAAGAATCTTCACCTAAACAAGTCATTAATTATTGGGTTGGTTAATATAATCTACACATTCTTTGGATTGACTCTCAAATGGTACACTACAAATTTGGCCACCTTACTTCAAAAGACTATATGAAGAGTCTTTCTCTCGCACATGGTATGTGAGTAATGTGACATGATCAAAATTGCTCTATTCATTACGCATTAATTGAGTGGTCCTCTTAAAACATATATTTAAGTCTGCCAGTCAAATCCCTAAAATTTTAGCTACACCTATTACACACATCATGGGAACTTTAAGTCAAATTCATGAGCTAAGATTTTTATTTTAATTTACTCTTTGATTGGGCATTACATCACGTGCAAACTATTTTGATATCATGTATGAAATGCACATTAGAAACCCTAACGAAATATTTCAAAATTAATCCATTTTAACGTTATTTAATTTTGACTAGAGATGTCATGATATGGAGATGATACCAATGATAATGACTTTTCTGTGTTTATGATGTGGATTATATACTTAATTGACAAAAGAGTGACCTTGATGCTATGTACTAGCTAGGGTGGCTATGGGTTGGATTCATGTTTGACTCGTCAAGAACAAGCTTGAAAGAGGAAAAAAGGAAGAAAAACAACTATTAATTCATGAGATGCCAAACTTGACCTTAAAAACTTTTGGTGCATTTCAAACTAAATGGGAATGAATTGGTTGTGTTCAGATTATCAAAATCTTATCTCAAAAGTATGTTAAATCCAATTCTCTTCATAGAAGCTAGACCTTTAAGTCTGAATATACACAAAAAATATTTTCCCTTTGATCATTCCTAATTAAGGGTGTTACTAATTTAATGCATTTAGTTCATAAGTAAGCAATTAAATTAGTTAATAGAACCATGACAAATTAGACATTGTAAAACAAATAAGATTATAACCATTTGAAGGATCTTACATCATTTTGGTAAATTTTTGTTTACAATGTCAAGCGCAATGTCTAAATGTAGACATTGTGATTGACATTGTAGACAAAAACTTACCAATAACACATAAGACCGTGGAAAGAATGAGAAAGAAATGTCATAAAATCAATATTTTGTGTCTATCTCTCTCATGCCATATGTGCATCTGCACATTGTAGCATTGAAGTTTCCCCTTCCGCTCCACTTTCTAGACAGTTGACGGACTCTTGTTAACTCATTACTGTTTGTCTCTCAAGTGTCTCAATTGCTACTTAAGAGTCGTGTTAGCTTCATTAGATAGTTAAAATCACTTTAAATCATTAACTCAGAATAACAGATCATGACGGTCGAAACTCAACTATATACAGTAAGATAGATTGTCTTTCCATATAATTTCAAGATTTTTTACTTGAAAAAAATCGACTACATACTTTGTCTTTCTTTTGTCTTTGAGTCATGTCACGTAAGTAATGCGTGAGTTATATTCGATACTTTAAAATTTTGGGAAAATAATCAATATTACACATCAAATTTTGCTCATTTGAAGTGTTTAGGTAGTGCTAATTTTCTAAAAGTTATACTAGTAACTTTTTACTTGTAATGAGTTATGAGGATCATAATATATCAAATTGAAGACATCTCAGAGTTCTATACTCTCATACTTTCAAGAGGTCGTCTGACCACTCTGACCTCCTTGACTCCTCCCCTGCTCGTATATTAATTTATATGGATCAATTTTTCTTATTATTTTCATAGATACCTAATTAACAATATATGTGATTGCTTGTCGATCAATTTGTTACAAAATTAAACACATGTATCACTTTAGGGTGTGTTTGGGAGTTGAGTTTTGGAGGGGAAGGAAAGATTGATGGGGTTTATGACCCTCCTATTCATGTTTGTGAGTTTATAAAATTGAAGGGGATAGTTTTGGTCGTGACCCTCCAAAACCCTCTAAATGCTCGTTTTTTTAGTTCCTCCAATTTGGAGAGTTTTGAAGGATAACTAACGAAATGGTAATTTAAGCTCAATTAAAAATAAATATCAGTTCAATTATTTGAATTCTGTCATATCTCAGTGCGGTTTTAATTATAATTCATTCAAAAACTTTCTTCTTCCAAATTTAGTACTCCTAAATACAAAGAACGACTTCATCACTCTCCCCTCCCTTTGCTCTCCAACAACGTATCTCCACAGCCTTCCCATCCTCTTCCCTCCAAACTCCAAACATACCCTTAAACAACACGGTTTTTCTTTATACAATGACCACTTATGGATAAGAAATGGAGACTGGAGGTATTGTATTTTTAAAATGAGCATCGTTTTTAAGGGTATAATTTCTTAAACCACTGTATACTCGTAGTGATTTTTTATTGAAGAGGTGTAACTTTAAAAGAATCGTCGCCTCCTTTCTTTTTAGGTGTTGTCTTAAACCACAGCCTTCCCATCCTATTAAGGTACTGTTTATAACATTTTGGATCAAGAAGAAACAAAGAATAATCATGAAAACGGACTACGACCAATTAATACTCATTGGGTCCTAAAATGACATTATTAGAGAAAACAAATTAAAGCAGTTTCAAGCAAAATTTTAAAAAATGGAGTATATTACGTAAAAAGAAGATCAGAGAAGTAATTAAGGCGTACATCAATATTTCCGGTCAAAAAAGATTAATTTATAGATCTCCGATGCTATAATGTGCACGGTGCACATGTGTCATCATAAATAGCCACATAAATATTAATAAATAAATTATCTATGTCTTTATTTAAATGATTTTGTACGTTTTTGGTAAGTTTTTCTCGACATTGTCAAGAAATCCGTCTAGATTTTAACATTGTTGTTAACATCACAGAGAAACCATACCAAAATTATACAAAATCACTTGAGTAAGGAGATATAATTTATTTCTTAATATTTATGTGGATATATCTCTCATGTCACATGTGCACCGTGCATTGTAGATACTCTAAACGTCATGTTTTTGAGCGGTCCATGGTTTTCTGTGAGTGAGACTCATGTCACTATATACTATTTGCGGGAATCTTGTGTAAACCTATGTCAAACTACGCACATCAGATCTTATTTTGTTAGCTTCTTCCATTCTTTATAATTAAATACATTAGACATATCACATGCTTTGTAATTTTTTAAACTTAAATTTAAATTATTCACATTACATTGAAATTTGCTTGGTCTACGCACCAACTAACCTACTCTCTTACACACCCAAGTATAATTGTCTGTGCAAATAATTACGCTCGGATTTGGAATAAAAAACACTTTCTTTACTAAATTCAAGCGTAATTGTCTGTGCACGAAAAGTTACACTTAGATGTGTAAGAAATTGTGTAAGCCGTGTGTACACCAAACAAATTTTCATACATTATAGTCATATTGTGCAGAATATTTACGGGTTCTTTCTAAAACAACGACAAAAATCGATTTAAAATATACTGGTAGTAACTTCTGCAAATGAATTAAACCAGTAAAATAAAATTCACTAACAAGAGTTTTTTTTTGGGTTGGGGATAAAGAATGAATTGAAGGTCACGGTCAGGGATAAGCCTAATAATTAAATCAGAAATTCAGCCTTTGTCCTACAAATTCCTTCACAAAAACCCATGACGTACGACGACCCGAAAAGATAGGAAAACTGAAAAGCTATGATTTTTTTTGAAGGAAAAGCAATAGAATTCAAAATTCAAGAAAAAAAATCTCCGCCAGTTAGTTTTCCATCACCTTTCTTCTTCCTTCTGCTGACTAAAGAAAATTCAAGAACCAGAAAAACCCAACGGGTTTTGTTTTCTTCGGGTCGGAGCACGGTTCCCATATCCATTACCGTGACCGGAGCAAGTAGATGCTAAATTCTTGACCCGGACCTTCATCCGGGTTGATCAAATGAAACGACTCCGAATCCGCGCCCCCGATTATGCACTCGTAATTGGCCCGCATGTACATGAGGTCTTCCGGTCCATCGCCCGATCCGAATCCCGAGGGAATCACGCCCGCCCCGACCGAGATTGACTGCATTGTCTTGAGCATGAGCCGGGTCTGCTGCGTGGGTTTCCTCCGGACCGCGAACCCGAGTTTCCGCCCGTTACAGAACAGGGTCCAGAGCGGGATGGAGTGGAGCGGGCAGTGGCTGAGCTCCGACTCCGGCGAGTCATTCTTGAACTCGAGCGCGATCCGGACAAGCCCGCCGCCCATTTCTTGGGTCAACGTCGTGGCGGCTATCGAGAGCTCAAGAAGCAGAGACGGCCGCGTATTGAGCCGGTCGTGCTGGACGCAGAACCAGACGTGGCCGCCGCGGCGGTGGCCGAATATGGTCCCGACGACCATAGTCTTGGATGACCGCGGCAGGACGGCGGCGGACGCGGCGGTGCAGGTGGGGCTGTTCGGGTCAGAGTACTCTTCTTGCGCGTTATCGTCATTATTCCCTGATTTCTCCTTTGGGTCGTCAATGTTATCGCGGAGGGAGGTGCTCAGCCTCTTCTTGGTGGCGCCGGAGACCGCCGCGATCGGAAGCGTGTGGTTCCCGGTGGCCGGAGTGAAGCAGGGGAGGAACAGCCGCCGGAAAGCGTTGATCTTTGCCATTTTGGGCGTAGTATACGTACGAATGTAGCTAGTAAGTAAGCAATAATCTTGAATCTTGAATAATCAGAAGCAGATAATGTAATAATAATGAGGATAAGAAATCTGTAAAGAGGAATTTCAGATCTCAAGTGAGGGGTTTATGGATTTATTTATTTGAATGAGGAAAAGAAAGGGACTTTAAAAGGCGGAAAAGATGATGAATTTTGGAGAGGTGCGGAATATGTGCATGGAAAGGAGGGCTAATAATTAAAGCCTGTTTAATTAGTGATGAGACTACGTTTAAATGAATCTTTGCCCTTTCTGTATGTATATGTAACCGCAGTCAGCAGCGCTCTAATGTGTGGGGCTGTATGGGATATAATAGGCGCGCAACATTTGAAAAATGGGTTAAAGATTGATTGGGAGAGGGCAAGAGGGGCAAACTGATATAAGTCTAGTACATCAAGATTATATATATATATAGAGACACACACACCATATTACCATGCAAATGTTTCTGCCATGTACGTGCAATATAGACCAAAATGAAGGTAATGTCCACTCTAGTGTGATCAACAGCACCAATGGAGATGGTGTAGAAGTCCAACGGACGAGTTCGGTCCAATCCCGGTCTACCGAATGAGAACCATTTTCATGCATAGATCTCAACCATGCATTTTAAAAAGGTCTGACATCATGATTATGGATTGAAATGAATCAATTGGACACATTTGACCACGATTTTGTTCTATCTACGGAGTAATAGGTTATTTAGCGTTTTCAGTTTAAATAAAGAAGAGTCAATCTCATGATATATAAAGTAGTTACACATTCTTATACTATGTATATCAATGTTTAACTCAATTTAGCTAGTGATATGAGAGTTAACTTCCTATTTGCTAAACACAAACAAGCTCATTGGAGGAGAAGTAAGTTTAGCCTTATCTAGTTTGTTTAAGTATAGTCTGGTTTGGTAAACGTCTTACTATACATTTATGTATTTTATGTTAAAGTATAATTTCGTATGACTTTACCACTTAAGTTTGATTTGTTTTGAATTGGTATGTTTAAGCCTGGTTTAATTTGATCATACTAAAACTAGTTCAAATGAAAACATTTTTAATTTACCTTAAAGAATTTATTTTTACTAATTTTGGCTACATTACCTAAATCTAGAAGATATTTCAAACGTTATTGTAGATCCTCTTGAACTGTTGAACACAATATCCTTATACTATGTTGTTTTTTGTGACAATTACACAGATGTGTCACAAAATTTATAAAAACAAATTTATCGATCAACATAAAGATTTTGTACACAAAAAGTTGCAGTATCAGTAGTTTATGTCAATATGAATTTGTGCATGTCTACTATCCGGCGGTTGTTTTTTGAGAACAAAAACGGCATATATTAAGTAAGATATAGCCCCTGTTTGAATATTGGCATCTTAGGTCAAAACGCCATTTTCAACAATCGTAAACGCTGATTTTTACAGCGTTTCAACGTTTATTAACAAACGGCCCCATAATGACATTTGTCAAAAGTGAAATTTTAGAATATTAATTGCATCCAAATAAACATTACATTATTTTGAATTATGTAATGAGTGCAATAAATTTATATTTGTAAAAAAACATTTAATCATGGCGCGAAGATATCTTTTTATATAACGTTCCGTGTATATATACGGAGTATTACATATGAAGCGTGGAGTATTTATCTTACACATTCAAAAGTCTTAAATTGAATAGAACTGTCATAAAAAGTGGAGTTTAATAGTTTATTCATAGAGTACTATGGAGTATATAACATCTCTCTTTATACTTTAGTAAACATTTTGTTTAATACTATCTATATACCATGTGCACAGAACTGTGTGAACGAATCCTTTTATCACATTATATATTTATATGTCAAAATTTGATCGATTAGATATTTCATTTTTGTTTATTCATATCGTTTATATAATGTCAAATAAAGAGAAAAATTCTAGGTTTTATTTATTCTTTTGTCGAACTTACATTGCGGGGTATAAGCCCGCATAACCTTTTTCCCATTGCGATTCTTGTATTCTTCTCACAGAGGGAGACAAAAAGAAGTGATTAAATGAAATGAAATGTTTTCAGTGATGAAAGAGACATTGACTACTTTGACCCTTGACCGGGCAATGATTATTTCAGCAGACGCTATCATTCTAAACACGAAAGAAATTAAAGCGGTTCGATATGTATTTAACTTGAGTGAAAGTTTTGATGGATCCGATTTAATTAAGTCTGATCGGATTTGAATTGATCTGACATGTTTCTATAAATATTTATTTTATATATATTTTACTATTATCCGAAACTATTGTGATTCATATATGCTTGTTATTAGTCTGATCTGATGTAGTCTGAGATGAAAATCTGTAACGATTGTGTGGAGCTTACAGCTCTGCGTGTAAGGTTGGATATCTGGTGCGTACAAGTTTAAAGTCTATCATCATCATTGAGTTGACTGAGTCACCGTAATTTGTAACCTCTCATACGTCTTGTCGAGTTGAGGCTTGAAAAGATTTGAGATTAGCGATTCAACCTTTTTAGAGGAATGAGATGGAAATCAATGTAATTAAAAGAAGCATTTATTGCTCGTTGATTAAGATGAATCAAATAAAATAGGATCATTCTTGTTTTACAGACTAAAATGGTCTGGGATAGACAAAAAAACCTACACAAACACATGTAAAATACTGGGTAAATAAGAAAAGTGGAGGGGCTGGTCAAAGGGATGTTAGAAAAGAAAGGCCAAAAGGGTATTTACAGTTGGATAGTGAATGTTTTGTAGCCTAATAGTGTCTGCCTTTTAAGGTAGATTCTGGGTTGGTGTTGATTGTACCTTGGTTGAATGATGCTAGAAGTGGAGGAATCTTCCTTTAATCCTCTTTGCAAACCACACACTTTTGCAGTCCTCAATTTTTAATTTGTCAGCACCTGTGTTGCACTCCCAAGGCACTCAGTCAATACTTATCTCTTTCTCTATTTTGTGCTCTTTCTAAAATGCAGTCATTAATTTTGCCAGACCTCATTTTACAGGAATATACTGCATACGGAGTATATACTCCGTATATAAATAAATAAAAATTCATTGTGATTTTTGACTCAGTTATTGGTAAATTAAAAGAAAGAAACAAATAAATTACGTAATCATTTTTAACACACTTAGGTATGTTTGGTATGGTACGTAAAAGAGAAACAAATGCATACTCCGTATGAAACAAGTGAAGTGCAAAGAAACACAAAATATAGATGTTAGTTTAATAACATGAGAACAAAGTAGAAATGTATGATTGTGATTGAGTAAGAAAAGGGTAAATAGATATTATTCATAAAATACTTTCAAAAGGGTAAGTGAGAAAAATTTTCAGGGACGGAAGGAGTTATTTTTGTGTAGAAATGTATGACTGTGATTGAGTAAGAAAAGGGTAAATAAATATTAGCCATAAAATACTTTCAAAAAGGTAAGTGAGAAAAATTTTCAGGTACTGTGAAAGTATGACTGTGATTGAGTAAGAAAAGGGTAAATAGATATTAGTCATAAAATACTTTCAAAAAGGTAAGTGAGAAAAATTTTCAGGTACTGTGAAAGTATGACTGTGATTGAGTAAGAAAGGGTAAATAGATATTAGTCATAAAATACTTTCAAAAAGGTAAGTGAGAAAAATTTTCAGGGACGGAAGGAGTTATTTTAGTGTGAGGTTTCTGTGGAATAAATGAAAAAGAATGAACTAATGATGTCTGTGGACTGTTTTTGTTCTTAATTATTTAGATGCACCTCAATAACTACTTTGTATACTTTATTTGGACAAAAGGGTCTTTGATAATAAGTTCTTTCTTTTACTTTATCAAAAGTTCAAAATAAATTAAAGAGGTATGGGTAAGTTTTATTCATATTGCCTTTATATGAACCAAGTTTTTTTACCCGCACTACACTTCTATAATACTTTAAATATTTATTGCAAAGTTAAAAGAGAGACTGTACTTGGACAAAAATATCTTTTTATGGCTTTTTTGTACTTGAAAAGAATATCGTTGCTAATTTTTTTTACTTTAGCAGAAATATCTTTAATATTTCATTCAGTTTGCAGACCGATCTTGATTAATATATATATTTTTTTAATTTGAAAAGAAGCCTTTATTAATCTTGAAAAGCCAAAAGATGACATGTATGAATATTGAATTTTATCAATTTAATGTATTGCATTTGAAATATTCAAACTTCATTGTTTTACAAAATTGAAACGTTTTTGTTGGATTATTTAATCATAATTCTCTCATATGCTATTTTGCTATAATTAAGATAGGATGGCAAAGTAATTAGGCTTGTTTTATTTTTTCCTTTATCTTGGGTTATCTCTTTAGTGGGTTGGTTGGTGCATTGGGCTTGATCTGCTAACTGATTGCTGTTGGGCCTATTTTGGGTCCGGCCTCTTGGTTATATTTTCTGCCTGGAGGTAGTACCTCACCCTCACTTGATAATTTGAGTAATTTGCATGATGTACCTGTTTTATCTGATGAAAATGATAATGTTGGTGAAAATGCTATAAATGATAGTACCTCTAATGAACATGAAGAACCAAACTTGTCTGATTACCAGCTTGTTAGAGATAGAGAACCTAGAAATATTATTCCCAATAGGAAATGCATCTCTAATCTAGCTGAGTTTATCTTTATAGCCTCTGAAATTGTTAAAAATAATGTGCCTGAAACTTTTGAACAAGCTATAAAGAGTTCTAAATCAAATGAATGGGTTAAAGCAATGCAAGAGGAATTACAATCTATGTTTGTTAATCAAACTTGGACTTTGGTCCCTAAACCCATAGGTGCTAAAGTCATTGATTGTAGATGGATTTATAGGATAAAAGATAGTCTTGATCCCACTGATCCTCCTAAGTATAAAGTCAGGCTTGTTGCTAAAGGTTTTAAACAAAAGAAAGGGATTGATTACCAAGATATTTTTGCTCCTGTTGTCAAATTTAAAACCTTGAGACTTTTGCTTGCTATGACTGCTGTGTTTGACTGAGAATTAGAACAGATGGATGTTAAGACTGCTTTCTTACATGGAGATATAAATGAAACTATTTACATGTCTCAACCTCCTGGATATGAGAGTAAAATGTATCTTGATCATGTTTGCTTGTTAAGAAAATCTATCTATGGCTTAAAACAGTCTCCAAG